GGAGCGCGTTGGAGGGGATGCTGACGGCCAGCCCCATCCCAGTGCTGCCCATCCTGTGCGCCCCGCCGCTGCCGTTCCCGCTGCCCAGCCCCGTTGCCCCGCCGCGGACACCCAGGAGTGCCTGGATGGCGTGCAATCTGGGGAAAGGCGGCTGTTGGTTGGGGGCGGCCTCTCCGAGTCCGGGCAAGTGGTTGGCTCTGAGGCCCCGCCCCCCTGGCATGCGGCGCCGGAGGGGAGGGAGGCAGGAAGGAAGGCAGGCGGGCGGGCGGGAGGCGGAGCGGAGGCCTCAGAAGGTGGTGGCGAAGCTGGCGGCGGCTGGCCGGTCAAGGGGGCGCCGCTGTGCTTGGCTCCTGCGGCCGTCCCTGCCTCTCCTCCCGCACCCTAAGGGCCGACCCGCGCTCTAGGCGAACGCCTAGTTCGCCTAGCGGGTGAGCCGGCCCTGAAGGCAGCTTCACGTGCTTATGGGTATGAGCCAGCATGATGTCGTGGTTAAGAGCGGTGGACTCTAATCTGGAGAGCTGGGTTCGAATCTTCACTTCTCCATGTGAAGCCTGCTAGGTGACCTTGGGCCAGTCACAGTTCTCTCTGAACTCTCTCAGCTCCGCCCGCCTCACAAAGTGCCTGTTGTGGGGAGAGGGAGGGAAAGGTGGTTTTAAGCTGCTTTGAGACTCCAAAAGGTAGAGAAAAGCAGAGTATAAAAACCATCTCTTCTTCTTTTTCTATTCTTCTTCGGATATGGGAGACTTTTGTGGGCTATTTATGCAAAAGAACAAAGGTTGAGTCCAGTGGCATCGTTAAGACCAACTAAGTTTAATTCAGGGTTATAAGCATTTATGGGCATACACAGTATTTGGGGGAGTGTGCGTGCACACGAAAGCTTATGCCCAGAATTAAACTTTATTAGTCTTAAAGGTGCCACTGGACTCAAACTTTGTTCTGTTGCCTCAGACCAACACAGCTACCCACCTGTATTTATACAAAAGTGTTTCCTTCGACCCTGCTCCACAAAGTGCTTGAGGTAGCCATACCTGGAAACTAGAGGTGGGAAAAAGGGTTCCTAGGACTGCAAGTGAGAAGGGAAGAAAACTAGGAATTTATCTGGATGGCTTAGTTCAGACATCACCACGGTTTAATCATGCTAGCTCTCATTAGTATAGTTGTTTAAATGCAGGCCCCTCCACTAACCGTGGCGAGTTAAGGGCTGTCAAACCAGGGTCCGAAACCATGGCTTGAAGGTGGTCCCTTAACTGTGGTTTCACAGGAGGTACGAATGTGGACATCTTGGCTCAACACTGTAAGTTAAGTAGTCTTTATCGGCATGGAAAAAAATTGATACAAGTCAATACAGTTTAAAAGGTAAGTTAAAACCACAACATACATATACATCAGTGTAAATATAAGATTATTTCTGTGAGATCCTTTGGCGGAAAGAAACTTAGCCACCTTCGCGGCAACATTAGATGAGAAAGCATTCAAAAGTCTACAAACCTTAAATGCATCAGAACAGTTCCTCATCCTCACTAGAACAGAATGTAAATGCATATAACGTAAATCTGTATACAGGTGACAATAGAAAAGAACATGAGTGATTGACTCAACACATTTTTGATTACAAGGGCAGTGTCTGGCTGAGTAGGCTATCTTATTGCATATGCCATTAAAAAAAATAGCAGATGGCATGCCATTACATCTGGCCAACACTGACTTGATCTCCCAACACTGCCCTCCCCAACTCCAAAGATCCCTGGCCGGAGCAAACCCACCTTTGTCAAGGCAAACCAGGGTTTGAGTAACCATTCAATGTCACTGTTTCGGGGGGAATGGGGGGTGACATCACTTTCCACTCCTGGAATATCCCCTCCCCCATCCCCCCGCTGGCAGGCGAAAGGGACCTGGCAACTCGAACGTCACTAGATGCCTGAAATGGATTGTGAAGGTGGTGGGTGTCATAGACCAGTGGTCCTCAACCATATTTGAGCCTGCAGGAACCGTTGGAATTCGGGCACCGCAACAAAATGGCGGCCCCAAAATGGCTACCGCGGGAGGCAGAGCCAGCCATAGAATGCGTGCCACTGCTTACCTTCAGTCATACCATGATGGTCCTTTGTATTGTGATGGCAGCGACTACCAAAGCAACCTTTTAAAAAAACGGGTACAGCCAATCCAATCTCCAGTGGCCAATAGCATCTTCCGGCCCCGCCCACCTTTTAAAAACATTGGGGGGGCACCAGGAAAGGTGTCAGCAAGTGCCATTGTAGACATACAAGGTAAAGGTGAAGGTTTCCCTTGCTCGAAAGCCAGTCGAATCCAACTCTAGGGTGCAGTGCTCATCTCCGTTTCCAAGCCAAAGGGCCAGCGCTGTCTGAAGACGTTTCCATGGTCATATGGCTAAACGCCGAGGCGCACAGAACTCTGTTACCTTCCCACCAAAGCGGTACCCATTTATCTACTTGCAATTTCTTGCTTTCGAACTGCTAGGTTGGCTAGGTTGGCAAGTGCTGGGACCAGAGACGGGAGCTCACTCCGTAATGCAGCACTCAGGTCTTGAACTGCTGAACTACTGACCTTCCAGGCGCAGTTCAGCATCTTAACCACTGACCCACCGCAGCCCCTAGACATACAAACTGGGGGGATATAAACAATCAGGAAAATCCCTACCCACAATGGTGTAGAACTACTGCACTCCAAGATGACAAAAGTAGTGTTCTTAGTCATCTGGTGCCCCAGTTCCTCAGGTTCACGCAGATTTGTTGTTTTGCTTTTTAACTGAATGACAGCATGGAACCTAGTGGCAATCTAGACAGATCCATGGTTCACTGCCTTGATCTGTAGATAACACCTTCATTGCTAGAAGTCCTGCTTGGCTGCCCACCCACCCCTCAGGGCATCATCACATAGGCCATTTTCACAGCCGTAAGGCTAGAAAATTGTGGGGTTCTTTCTTTTTTTTTTTGGTGCCCTATTAGGGATGCCAACCTCCAGGTTGAAACCTAGGGATCTCCCAGAATTACAGCTCGTGCCCAGACAACAGAGATCAGTTCCCGTGGCAGAAATGGAGGCTTGGGAGGGTGGACTCTGTGGCATTGTACCTCATTGAGGTCCTTGTCCTCAAGCCCCACCCCCAAATCTCCAGGAGTTTTCCAACCTGTATCTGGCAACCCTATGCCCTGTGCTGAATTCTGGCAGCCCTGTGCTGAATTCTGCGCCCCCTGCCCCCCTTCTGCACCTTTGCAGTGCGTGCTGCCTGTCAAAACAACACACTGTACCCGCTTGTGAAGCTGTCTTGTGACTGACGGTTCTTTCTCCCCTCAGGCAGAGGTGGGTGACGAGGAGGAGACGGATTCAGGGTCGCCGTTGGACGCCGAGTTCGAGGGGTTCGGGGACTACGAAGAAGGGATCCTGGCCCAGTGGTGGCAGGAGCCGCGATCCAAAGGCGACAGAGCAGACGAAGGTCTCTGAGGGCGAGACGGAGGGTTGGTCCGCATTGCTTGGCCCGGTTTCTGCTCCCTCCCCCAGGACCCGCTCACCTCCCTTCCTCTCGGATGGCTTCCCTCTCCCCCATATTGTGTCTTCCGTGTGCTGCTCCCGCATCCGTGTGGCTCTCTCTGTCTGTCTTTCCGTCCGTCAGTCCGCCTGTCTGTAGATGCTCAGCTTGGCTTCTGAGCTTCTGGCAGTCCCACTCAAGGGATTACACAAGAGTCTGAGACTTGCTGCGGGGAGCTTTCTTCTGATTCCCTGCACATGCACAGCCATGCCGCCCCCTCTGCCCGTTTCTTTTCGGAGTTCCGAGGCTTCCAGGTGGACCGTTGAATGCGTGCTGCATGGATCCTGAAGGTGGGGGCAGCAAGAGAGCACCATTGTGGCATGGCTTCCTTGGAGTATGTTAACAGCATTCAGCAACCTTCCACATCCGGTCTTTGCGCAGGGGGGGGGGGGGGGGGGGGGGGGGGGAGGAAGGGCAGGGCGGAAATCTTCTTTTAACACCTTACTTTTTTGTTTGCAGAGAAGGCCGAGTGAGTGGTACGGTCCTCCCAGCGTCTGCCAGTAAGGGGACATCCCAATTCTCCGTGCCCACCACAGTTTCAGTAGTGGGCTTATCTGGAGCAGGCAGGTGTTCCCCTCCCTGTGTCCCGGCACGTTTCCAGCCCTTCAGGCCGTTCTTATGCTAATGTCCCAGCAAGGCTGGGGAAGTTCCAGCTTGACACCTCCTTGTGCCTAGAACCTTTCATTCCACCCCTGATCGGATTGGTTTGGCACCAACACTGCTGAGCCAATCAAAAGTGCTGTTTGAATATTCCATGGTGCTTCACTTTTAGAATTGCTCTATGAGCAGTCTTGGAAACAAACCTCCAAGCAGTGGCTTCTGACTTTTAACCTCCGCTCGGTCAGCGTGACCTCAGATAGCGACTTTGGCTGGCCACATTAGCCTATGCACAAGCAGCGGTGAGCTATACAACCAGCTTCACCGTGCCACTGACACTCTGTGGGACCAAACGTAAGCCATACTCTCTTGCCCCAAAGCCTTTCCTGTCAGGAACCAGACTCCCAGCATGCTTTGCTCTGGTTCTGACAGGTTCCTTGATAGGTACCGGCTTCTTCCTGACCTGGTTGTCAAAGTGAATAATCATTATGTTCAAACTGACTGGCCAAGTGCCTTTTTAAACCTCAGAGTGCTGCCTTTGTAATATTTTGGGGTTTTTTGGATAATTTAATTTTTTTTGTTTTGCTCTGTACAGATTTTTTTAAAGAAAAAAAATGTTAGCTCAGTTTTAATAAAATACCTCCCAGTTCTTTTACTGCTGCCTTCTGGTTTTTCTCCCCCTACCCTTTTTTATTTGCACATTCTCACTTGAATACAAGGCAAATCACCATCTGTGAAACAATGCATTATAGCATCTGTTGCTTATGAATACCCGGTTCGTCTTGAACATTTTCCAATTGTAGGATGATTTGCATCCAGTTATCCAAATATACTAAACTGTTAGAGTTCATCAAGTAAACCTGCCTAATCATACTTAAATAGTCCTTCAATTTATCCAGCCATTCTTCTTCGTTATGACTTGATGTCTTCTTCCAAAAACCATAGGGCGGAGGTGTCAAACTCATTTGTTACAAGGGCTGGATCTGACATAAATGTCATTTTGTCGGGCCAGGCCATGTGTGCCATAAAACGTAATGCCAGGTACTGGAGATATAAGCTGTATAAAGGACAGCAGCTGGTAAGCTTCAAGTTGGTGTATCCTCATTGCAAGGCCTCATGGGCTGGAAGGGGGTGCAGAGGAAACCCCATATGGGCGGACTGGAGACCCGACAGTGCAGCACTGGGCAGACGCTCCCACGCTGCTTGACTGCTACAGACAAAGTTGTTCTGCCATGCTGAAACCGCGATCAGAGTGGCTCCACCCACTCCCCCCCCCCAGCAGCCTCCTGTTCCCTCCCTTGCACCAGTTGCTTGTGGGCCGCATAAGAGCCCTGGATGGGCCAGTTCCAGCCAGTGTTCCCTCTAAGCTTAGTGTGAGCTAGCTCACAGTTTTTTAGCCTCCGGCTCACACATTTCTGTCTCAGCTCAGGAAGGAGGGCTCCAGAGCAAACTAATTTAGTGCAGCAGCCAAATCGCTTGCTCACAACTTTAACGCCGGTAGCTCACAAAGTAGAATTTTTGCTCACAAGACTCCACAGCTTAGAGGGAACATTGCCCGCGCCTTATGTTTGACACCCCTGTCATAGGGGCTGCTAGAAGCGGATGTAATACTCTTTTATTTCACTCAGAGGTGTCACCTCCTGATTCATCGAGGGATAATTGAAACGGAGTGCCTAGTCCCTTAAATCATACGCAGTTTGACACCACCTGCCAAAACCAAATGCTCTAGAGCAGGGGTCCCCAACGTGGTATTCTTGGGCCCCGGGGCACCCTTTGACACCTTTCTTGGCGCCTGCCAGGTGTTTTTAGAAAATGGGCAGGGTCAGGAAGGGCTTTTGCCCTGCAAAGCTTCTGATTGGCCATTGGAGACTTGACTGGCTGTGCAGATTTTCAGAAATGTCACTTTGACAGCAGCTGCCACCACAGCACGAGGATCTTCACTGTGTGACTGAAGGGAAGCTGTGGCAGCCATTTTGTGGCTGGCTCCCCCTCCTGAGGCAGCCATTTTGTGGCTGTGCGTCCAGCATGCTGGGTTAGAACTCTAAAAGTGCCTGGAGCTGAAAAGGGTTGGGGACCCATGGACTAGAGCCCTCCCACCATATTTTTCCATTTTTCCTCTCCTCTGTAGCCATGATTTCTGGGGCCCTTTGCTTTTTACAGTTTGAACTGCCTAGCAACCTTCCGTGTTTAGGTTTTTCAGTAACTAGAATCCAAATTCTGGAGGAAGAGTTGACGGTGGAGCAAAGAGTTATCACGGGGCACGTTTGAAACCATGAGTATCTTAAAGATCAGTTTACACACGGGCTTTAAATGCCACCTCAAATGATCTGCATGGATTAAATGGAGCGGATCTAAGGCTATAAGCCAAAGATTTTCTCACTGCTTCTAATGTACTTCTAAAGGCACACACTTTGCACACAAAATGTTAAGTTGCTGACTGCGGTACCCTATGGCCCAATGATTCCGTCTCAGTCCATTGATTCAGTAAACTGAGGCTGGAGTAATTCTGCATAGGGTTGTACTGTGGGTGATGGATAAGTCTGCACCAACCAGCCTTAAACTTACCATTTTTGAATAAGCCAAGATAAAGCCAGTGTGTTGGTAGAGCAGGGTTTCCCAGCCTCTGCAGGTGAGTCGTGGGGGCCCCCTCCCTAAGCTGAGTTGATGTTCCCTCTAAGCTGAGTTGATGTGAGGTAGCTCACAGTTCTTTAGTCTCCGGCTCACAGATTTTTGTCTTAGCCCAGGAAGGAGGGCTCCAGAGCAAACTAATTTATGCAGCAGCCAAATCGCCCGCTCACCACTTTAATGCCAGTAGCTCCCAAAGTAGAATTTTTGCTCACAAGACGCTGCAGCTGAGAGGGAGCATCCCTGCCCTTTCCATTGCTCTTTTTTATATTTTGGAAACCAAGATCTGACCCTGGACACAGGATCTTGCATGTCATACATTAGTCGGTATTTTATCTTCCCAGCATGCACATGCTGAGCACGTAAAATGTGTCCGGATGGTTACTAGAGTGAATATGTTGTCGAAGGCTTTCACGGCCGGAGTTCATTAGTTGTAGATTTTTCCGGGCTGTATGGCCATGGTCTTGGCATTGTAGGACCATCCTACAATGCCAAGACCACGGCCATACAGCCCGGAAAATCTACAACTAAAGTTACTAGAGTGAGTTTCTCAGAATCTTAGAAGGGATTAGCGGAACTAATGGAGGAGAAGGAGAGGGTGGTCCCAGGCTGGAATGTAACCTCCGTATGCTGAGGCCATGTGTGTCGCAGTGCCACTTGCTTGGGGGTCACAGTGGGGGCAGCTTTATTTATCAATTAAATTTGTTAATCACCCAATCTCTGCTAATGCAGGGCTCTGGGACATGTACGACATTCATAAAAACATATCAAGATAAAGCGATTAAAAAACAAAACATTAATAACACCTTTCAAACATAACAGATGGCATGTACTAATTTATCCAGTTTCAGACTGCTGGCTATTTGGCGGGCAGGGGAGAGGAGGGCAAGATGTAGTAAGTTTGATGTAGTGGTGTAGTGGAGAGCCAGTTTGGTGTAGTGGTTAAGTGCGTGGACTCTAATCTGGGAGAACCGGGTTTGATTCCCCACTCCTCCACTCGCACCTGCTGGATGACCTGGGGAAAGCCATAGTTCTGATAAGAGTAGTCCTTGAAAAACAGCAGTTTCTGTCAAGAGCTCTCTCAGGCCCACCTCCCTCACAGGGTGTCTTTTGTGGGGAGGGGAAGGGAAAGGAGTTTGTAAGCCGCTCTGAGACACCTTTGGGTAGTGAAGGGCGGGGTATAAATCCAATCTCTTCTTCTAAGTAGCTGCGCCCTTTGCTGGTTTCTCAGACACATCTGGTTAGCCACTGTAGAAAGTTGAGTGCTGAACTAGATCGGTGCCAAGGTCACAATTTGCCCTAGAGCCCCCAATGCCCTTGGGCCAGCCCTGAAAGGGTCACCACATGAAGTAAATTAGTATTTTTTAAAATATGTGTATGAGTGTGTGTGCATGCCCCTGGAGTCACGGCGACCTCTGGTGACTGACCCCTACTGGGGGCCTGGAGGCTATTCAGAGAGGTGGCTGAATGAAGCCTGCCCCCGCCTCCTTACTGTTGGTATTCCAAGGAGGTCTCCCATCCAAGGACTTGCCAGAGTTGACCCTGCTTAGCTTCTGAGATCTGACGAGATTGGGCTTGCCATACCGAGTAAATGTGGATTTGTGCATCACCATACCATATGGGTTGGGAACCATGTGGCTAGAGTGTTAGGGAATTGAGAGACCCAGGTTGAATCCCCTACTCAGTCTTGATGCTTGCAGTGTAACCTTGGGTCAGTCATTTTCTCTGCCCAGCCTACCTGACAGGGTTTGTTGTGAGGACAAGATGGTGGTGGTGGTGGGGGACTCTGTATGCTGCTCTGAGCTCCTTGTAGAAGAGTGCGGTAGGAATGCATAGATAGATGGTTGGGTCTTTCCTCACAGAACTGAGTTACTACAGAACTCAAAAGAAGTCATGTGTTTGATGATACAGGCCCTATGTTGGCCTTGCTTCTTGTTCAGCAGTAGGACACGAGTGCTGATACAGCCCCCCCCCCCCGGGAAAAAAAACACCAAACCAAATATGTGCCCATTCAAATATTTGGGGCTGCAGGTGGGCTAGAGGAGAAGATGCAACTCTGCAGGTTTCTCAAGAAAATGCAAAGGAGAGAAAAGACGAAGAAAAGTAGCTCTTGTGCTTTTGGTGAATGGCAGAACTGTCATTGACAAGTGAAAGGTGGGTGATCAGAAATACTTTGTGATGATTTCGACCAGATCAGAAATGTGGTTTTCTTAGAGAACCTGCCTTTTTCTTCACTGCTACATGCTCTTAGAAATGTCCACTAGGTGGCACCCTTGAGCTTTAACCAGATCAGTTATCTAAGTGTTGCATGTCTTTGTATCCTACTGTAATAATATTTATAATTTTGTATTTATAGCTTGCAGGTGAGAAGAGGTAAGTGATTTTATACTGTGTTTCTGGTGCTTTTGGGATTAAATGCTCTCACCACCCACCCACCTGCCAGTTATTGCTGCAGGTGAAGAGGATTCATTTGCCAGGATCGATGCTATATGTGGACTTTCCGCCCCAAAACAGCATAAGACTCTCTGATCCTGGTTGACAGGAACAGATTTTATAAATAAAAGTCACCTTGATCTGTCTGGTTAAATTTTGACACTGCAGATAACTTTGGGCAAGGCAGGCATGTACTCTAGTGGACAGATTATTGGACTGAAGACACCCAGGGTCAGATGTGGCCATGAATTTCCTGGGCAGGTTTAAATCGCTTTCTCTGTTTCCGCAACCTTTGGTGCAGGTTTGCCTTACAAGGAGAATGCAGTGACTACAGAAATAAGTTCGGTTTAGTAATAATGGAAATCTGGGGACTGGTTCCAAGGTGTGCGTTCATCTCTGGATGATATTAACATAAGAATTATGCTTTTGCATGTGCGAACGGGGACGTCTCAGATCAAGTACAAGAGGTTTTGACCTCATCTCGCAGTACTTCAGAATATGCTGGTGCATCTCCATTCAGAGGCACAATAATCAAATATAAGAGAAATAATACTAAGGTCTTTTAAAATATTTTTCGGGTTCT